TAGGGTTTAGGGTTTAGGTAACTTTATGTAAGGACGCTATGAGAGTTCTACAACTCTGGGCTTGGCGGAGACAGTGCACTCAGAGCCGGGCTCAAGGCCCCCAGCCATGAGCTGAAATTCAGAGCTGACATCGGTGAACGTAGCCCTAAACCCACTTGGAGGTTCATNNCTACTCCTACTACTACAACAACAACTACTACTACTACTACCACTACTACTACTACTACTACTACTACTACTACTACTACTACTACTTCTACCACTCCCTCACACCGTCTGCACCGAGGCCTCTGGCTTCTGAGCTTCTCGAGCACGAACCCATCTCCGTGAAAGATTGGCACGCCGTAGGCGGGCCGAAGCTTCAGAGCTTCCGGGCCCCGAAGCCCTAAACCCACTTGGAGGTTCATGGGTAGTTATAAGTGGGGATATAGGTAGGGTAACTATAATTATAACCCATATGAGGGGACTTATAACCCTACTTATAACTACCCATGAACCTCCAAGCAGAACCCTTATATCCCTTGCACAACCCGCCCCCCCCCGGTAAGCCTCTTGCATGACCCCTTCAACCTAAACACCCTAAACCCTAAACCCTGAACCCTAAACCCTAAACCGCGATAGCGACGCCGGACCCTGGCCTTCAGGTAACTTCTCGAGAAGCCCAAGTAGGGCGCAGAGCTGGACCGGCGAGCCTCCGCCGGTCTTAGGAGGGCTTGGCTGTGAGGGTTTTTCCCACTGTGGGGTTCCATGGGTGCTTGTATTTGTTTATTCAACTCTTATACCTTTTTTGGGAGGACAGGTCTATCAGGTGTTATGGGTTTTTGCATCTGGTATCGAGCTTCAGGGGTTAAATGGTTTCAGGGTTTATGGTTTAGGAGTTAAAGGGTGTAGGGTCACAGATGAAATTAGGGTCTAGGGTGATAGATAGATAGATAGATAGAGACAGAGACATAGACAGGCAGACTGCTGAACGGATTCACGAATAGATAGCTGGATAGATGGATAGATAGATAGATAGATAGATAGATAGGTAGATCGATGTAGGGATAGATGAATGGATGAATGGATGGAGAGGTAGGTAGGTTGGCAGATAGATCTGTGGACAGATGGGTGGATACATGTATTCCTTCTCTTTGTCTAAAGCCTCCATCAGTGTTAATCGCCGGAGTAGCAACATGGGCTCCGTGACGATGTCGACTATCTGGTGCTTTCACTGTTGTGACCACAGCACATGTAGCAGTGGATCGTACAAGCAACTCACCAATATATACGATTGCTTCAGCACGTCAGCCTCGCGCTGCTCCACCGATCGACGGAAGTCCTTTGCTACAGCTGCGCACACACAAAGAATCAAATGCTGCTCTCAAATCTCAAATCGGGGTGCCTCACACGATATGGGGGGGCGCGTGGAACGCCCAATACAATCAAGATGACATCGTACGTACTTGGAGGTTCATGGGTAGTTATATAAGGAGGGTAACTGTAATTATAACCCATATTAGGGGACTTTTAACCATACTTATAACTACCCACCTCCAAGTATGACCTGGCTGTTGCACCCTGCAGTCCTTTCGGAGCTCCGCCAGCTCGTCGGCAGCGCTGGTGGCAGCACTGGCAGCGCCGCTGCAGGCAGTGGCAGCCAAAATCTGGGTCGGGAGATGCGGTTATCGGATTCTGTACAGGCTCCAGAAGGTTTTGATTGTAGGTTCTCAGAAGTGCTAAATGGTTTTGCGTTGAAGCTGATTTTGGCTGTAGGATTGCTCAAGCTATCAAACTTCCCGTTGAGCTACGAAAAATCCTGTACTTCTTCGTCCCGGACTTCTTTTGGCCCCGTCTTCCCTCAGCAGCGCGACTGACCTGGCTGTGCGAGGTTACTTGACGTGGAATCCTGTCCGAGCCCTCCAGAAAGTACGGACATGTGGGCTCCGATTTGGACGACCCCGCCTGGAAGCACATGGGGGTTTCCAAAAATATGGGACCCTAATATAGCACCCTTAATAGTAGTATCCTTATTATAAGGACCCCAAAATAAGGTACCCCTAATTTTCGGAAACTCCCAGATAGAACTTGCAGGTTGTGAGAAACCCGCAGCTGCATCCGAATCACATGCCTATACCCGCACGTCGATTTGAAGGAGGGTCTTTACATGACTGGAGTCCTGGTACTCGGCAAACTTGGGCCTCACTTTGAACTAGGCATCGGGCCACGCTTCGCAGGGCTGTGCTGGCAGCAACGCGACTCATTGTCGGCGTCTGGCCGCGGATGCTCGACGCTCCCAAAGCACTGCAGCTTCCCATGCTTCCCAAAATCCGGCTCGTCTCCTTCCAAAGAAACCCATTCAAAGCCTCGGTTTCTGAACTCCTGGAGCACAAACAGCTCCGGCCCCGTCCTGCGGCGGGTCCTCGGGAGCCAGCAGCATGGGCATCAGCGACAGCCTCCTGCAAAACGGGGTGCCGATCGTAGCACAGCGAAGGTGTCAAGAACACAGCCCGAGCTGAGAGGCGATGCAGAAAAAGGGTTTAGGGTTTAGGATTTAGGGTTTTTCTCGGCATGGTGGGGGCTGGGATGCTGTGCGCACAGAAGCTTTGGCAGAAAAGACCTTCAGCTGTCCGAAGTCGAAGGCTTCTGCTACATCGCCTGCCAAGTTGGGCTCGGATAGCCCGGCGCGTCCATGAGGCGTCCGACAGTTGTTGCTTGTGAACTTAGAGTTTAGGGTTTTAAGTTCGGGGCTTAGCCACACACCGTTGCGCTCACTTCAGCTTTTCTTGCCAGGACATGTAATGATGGCGGTCTTATCGCCGTTGTTCAGCTGTGCTCCTGTTCATGCTACAACAAGTGTAAATCCCACGCCGTGTCTCCCGGTCGCTGGCTGCTTGGTGTCCTGCTGACCCCATTTCCAGATATGTGGAAACTACCGAACAAAGCTTGGCTGGTCTTCCTTGGGCAATTCGTGCAGACCGGACATGATAGCTCCACTTTTCAGCTTTCGCGAGTTTGAAACCAGGGTTTATGCTGGTTTACAGACCCTAACGCCTAAACCCGAAACCCAACCAAACGCGCAGGTTTGGGGCTACCGCGCCCGAAGAGGAACATGTCATGTTCGATACGCCTGCATCCCGGGTTCTTGCATCTCTGTAGATCTTTTATTTATGGTCTACAGGTCTCGAGCTTGGACTTAGAGGCGCAAGTTTTAAAATCGGCCTGGGTTTGGGGCTCGCCGAATTTCCGCCTTTGTTGGTTCAATAATGGATCCGTACAACCACGATCCCATTGTTTCTTGCGGAAACTCCCAGGTAGCGTGCCCGAAGCGCAGCGAAAGCACGCAGGGATTGGTCCTAGGTCCGCTAGACCACACTCAAACCGTCAACCACAAGATCAAAGGCGGTGATGGCTACAGTCCAGTCATGTCCAGTCAGCATTGGTTCTTTTCCGATCAGCCTCTTTAGACTCTGCGGGAAACGAGGCAAGAGTGCAGCTCCGCTTCCTGCTTACTCTGTCTGACGACTGCGGGATACGGTGCCCTCACTTCTTCTTCTTGTCTGACCTGATCAGGGTGAACAACTTGAGGTTATCTACAATGGAAGCTCTTGTGTGAGAGTCCCCTCTGTCAGGCGTCTGTCAGTGACCATTCTGCCAGGACTTGCTTGTGTGCAAGTTCTAGACTGTGCAAATGAGCTCATGTGTGTGAGTCATGAGGCGCAGGCGGCAGCGAGCACCCCTCGGAGCCCCTTTTGTCACGAAGCGGCCTGAACTGTGCAGAAATCTGCGAAGACCACTCATGGGTCCGCAAGCAGGGCTTGCTGTGCCTGTCAAGGGAAACAAAGGAGGAGCTCCGCTGCGATTCTGCCTTCTGAAGTGTTTAGGGGTTTAGGGGTTTAGGGGTTTAGGGGTTTAGGGGTTTAGGGGTTTAGGGTTTAGGGTTTAGGGTTTCGTGTTTGCTGAAAAAGCGAATCACCCCCTCAGCTGGGTGTGGACCAAGATTGTGACAATGCTTCCATCCCAAGATTGAGCCTGTCAACATGAGCCTTTTGCTCATGATATCTGAATCTTGGCCACGCGCCGGGTAGAAAATTCGTAACCGCGAAGAAAATTCGTTGTGCATATATATGCGTTTGCTGCCGTGAACTGGCAAAACTAGTTTTAGCTAACAGCACGTCCAGGCAGCGGGTTTGGCAGAAGGAAAGTGGAGCGTGTAGTGGGCGTACTTGAAGGATGGCTTGGCTTAACGTCGGATCAGACTAGAACTGGAAATATTTGGTAATGTAATTAAATTAGTAATGAGTTGTCAGAGCGGAGTAAGTCAAAAGAGGCTCCTGCGTCTGCCCTGGCTTTCGACCAGCACTGCACTAGCTGACAATAGCTGTGCTGGATGTACGTGAAAGCCAGAAAAAACATCCAGCACTGCACTAGCTGACTAGCTGTGCTGGATGTACGTGCAAGCCAGAAAAAACATGAAACCCATCGTAGCCAGGCTGAGACTCGAGCCTGGTGCCGAGGACACTGGCTGTGTGCTCACTGTCACAGTGGAGCCGGTGCCGCCTGTCGTGGTAGTGACCGTGGTGGCGGGCCCCTGATTCAAGGCCGCAGCGACCCCGAAATCCACGGTATCGTAGCCTGAGCCGATGGCCGTGAAGGACACCACCACATTGTCCAAAGCAGCCAGTCGACGGCCTCCGTCTGTGACATTCTGGAGACCACACTGGAAGGACGCCGTCGTGCCGGAAGGAGCGCACTCGGATACACAGAGCGGCTCTGGAGACGACTCCTCATCAAAGATCTCGTAGTCACCACTCCTGCGCAGGGCGGATGCCGCGTAGATCTCAATCTGCCCGCAGTCTTCCCCAGACCCGGCCGTCTCTTCTGTCACGGCTGTGATGTTGGAGTTCAGGCCATCCACGACGTCATCGAAGCTCGCCCCAGTGAGATTCGCAAAGGTTTGGTTCATGCTCTCCTGAACCAGCTGCGACCGGCGGTCATGTCTCGTAGGCACGGCGCTGACATTGAGCTCAAAGGACAAGTTCTCCACGTTGGGAGGGAGGGTCACCGACACAACTTTTCGGTAGGTTGCATTCTTGCTAGAATTTGAGCTGTTTGCTGACAGGACGGAGGGGTCCACTGCAACTCCTTCGACCTCACGGAACTGGCGGTAGTAGATGAAGGAGTAATAATTGCAAGCCTCTTCAGACGCACCGCAGCCACGCGTTGGCACCACCCAGTCTGTGTTGCCTGGCGCCTCAAAGCTGTTTCGCGTCAAGGATGCCTTAATTGTCATGCCTGGATTGTAGTAGTCGAAATACTCCCGACGCACAATGCGACAGCGGCCCTCCACGATCTGCCACGCGACACAGGGGTTCTTGGGAGTACCAGCATCATCCATCTCCACAACACCACCCACACTAGGGAGCCAGCTCATGGAACGGCACATCTCACAACACTGCTCTGCATCATTGATGGTGTTGAATCTCAGGGTGACGTTGCAGCCATGTTGCAACCCTGTCTCATTGGGATCCCCTTCAGGGCACTCAGAGTTTGGTAGCTCAACCCCATCAGGAAGCTCACCGCCAGGAAGGTTCGTGCCAGAGGTCAGCTCCTGTAGGCGAGTGAAGCCTCCATCCACGACGCAGCGACCACCAGTGTGAAGGTTGGCAGCATCTGCTGCCCCGGCGGCGTGGCGGTAGTAGAACTGCTCTCCTGAACCACAGCGCGTGTCCTGGTACTTCACTGATCGCCCTGACGAGCTATCCATGTTAGCATAGATAATCTTCTCGCGGTCTACACGACAGTTCGAGCCAATTCGCTGAAAGAAGAGGGCGGCACCGCCATCTTCCCAGGAGCTGTTTTCGAAAGACATCGCCTTCAAACAGCACTCCAAGTCACTGGAAACCGTGAAGACTTCAGTGGCTGGCGTAGGGGAACCGTCGTAGCCTGGGTAGACACCCCCATAGGTGGATCCCCAGCCACATGCCAGATCTCCATTGGCCTTCAGCCACTTGCCTGCGTTGTTGTTGGCCGTGGCATTGCAGGGAGGTCGGTTCTCCTCGGCTGTGCCACAAGTCCAAGGATCTTCCGCCTGGACGAGATCAAGACCTGCACATGCGCTTGCTGCATCCGAGGTGTCCGGCAAGGAACCCTCGAATGCCTGATCCACGCAGGTGATCATGTCCCTGCCACACCCATATGCTGGGTAGCATGCTACGCCCAGCTCCAAGTTCTGCTGAGCGGTGCCGACCCCCGAGGCCTGCTTTTGGCAAATGGCGCCATCGCCGGGCCCTGCCCCTGCGAAGTAACGCCTGCAGCGGGAGGGGCACCGTACGCTGCCGCCAGGGTTAATGTAGCTCTCGTCCAGCGGGACGGGTACGCCGACACTCTTCATCTCGTCGCCGCTGCCTTCCGTCTCATTGCTCTCATTGGTGAAGTTGGCACCAGCCCTGGACTGCAGAGACACGAGGTAAAAAGACAGAGTCAAGATGCGGCGAGCCATGGCGCGAAGTGAGGAAACCCTACTTGGGACCTGATCTCGGCCTCGAATGGCTTCAAACTGAGCGAAAATCTGAGGCACTGCATCTTCTGCCTGACTACTCTTTCGAAAACCGCAAACGTTTGGGGTCCGGCTGTACTGCAAGTTTGATGCAAAAGCCGTGAGCAAACTGGATGGAAACTCTAAGCCCAGCACCCGCAGTCAGACCTGCGAACTGCAAAAGGCACCTCGCGGCACGTTGTCAATTCTTGAAGATGAAGATGCCGGATGTTCGACTGCCGAAGAAACCATGATAAAGCCAAACACGTGCCCGGTGATCCTGTACCGGTACATCCCAAAAAAAAAAAAGGCTGTCCGAAGGCGTCTGGCCTGCCAAGTTGGGCTTCGGTGGCCCTGCCCGTCCATGCGGCTCTGCGGTATGTGCGTCTTTCGGGTTTTTGGCGTAGCCAGTACGAGTACCCTTCGTGTTCCGGATTGGGACAATGTTGATACTGACAGTGGTCTTGTCACAAGAGTCTTGTCACCTTGCTCGCGTTGTCAGCCGATTCCAGCAGTCTAATCCGGCTCTTGACGGCCCAGTCACCTCACCCCCAAGAAGCGCTGCCCCTCCGAACGATGCAGCATGACACCTGAGACGGGCAGTACATGGCAGAGCACAAACATTCCGGTCTTTTGCTCCTCCCTGCTCCATCGCCTTGGGCTTTGTCCGCTAAGCGATGCACGGTCTGGGGCCGGTGGCCTAAGACGAACTTCGTCCGTCTACACAAGGCGGGGCTTTCCACGCCCTCGATGGTACTCAGAGCCGTGTCAGCGCAGTCAGCTCTGCTGCAGGTCAATGTAAATTCAGCATGGTTGAGAAAGGCAGTCGCAGTTGGTTCAAGCTTCAAGAAACTCGAGCTCCTTGTGTTCAGCAGCGTGCTGAATTCCACAGCTCTAGGTCTACCCAATAGGCAGCGACAGATGCTGGGCACCGGGTTCGGTCTTTGCCCTGTTGTGGCATTTGTAGCTGCCTTTTCCTCACGGTTCACAGTCGAGCTCGCGGCTGACTGTTGGAGCCGGCCAGGATGCAGTATTGTGTAGTGGGACTTGGTTGTGTTCTATGTGCGGCTGCTGCTTGAGTGGTCGGGCATCTGCATCAGAGTTATTACAGCATCGCAGCCAACAACTGGCATCGCAAATTGGTCTCCAAATCCATTGTGACGCAGCGGCAAGAGTGCAGCTCTGCTTCCTGCTTACTGTGTCCGACTGCTGCGGGCCTTCGGTGACCTCACTTCTTCTTGTTGTTGGACCTGATTAACATAAACAACTTGAAGCTAGATGGAAGAGGCAAGTATGAAGATCTCGAAAACTCTAGAAGCCATGTTGAACCGGCATAGGAGGCTGCTTGTTGGTCTCTTTCGCCGGCGCCGTGGCGGCTTTGCCCTTTTCAGCCGCCTCCATGGACTGAACGCACCCCACCAAAAAAAAGCACCGACTTGTTCTTGCCCTGGCCTTGGAAGCTTTGCCGTTCTTCTTTGAAGTGTCCTCCTGACAGCCAAGCTCACGACATTATGCAAGGTAAGTACGTCGTCCAAACGAGCGTGGCGTTCCATCCAAGGCGCCGCTACCTTCGAGGACTTTCTCCGCAAGCAGCAGCATCCACAACAACACCTCACCAGAGACTGCGCTCAACGTAGGACGATATCGCAGACTTTACGGCTCAGAGTTCGAAGGCCGATCACACCTTGGGCATGCTGGGCGCATGGCAGGCAGCAGAGAAGCGTCCAAAAGATCCAGAAGGCCACGAGTGCCAACTTCACCAACGCGTACCTCAAGGAGCCGCAACTGTGCAAAAAGGGTCCCCTCTGTAGGGGTCCATGTAGCTCCGTGCTAAAAGGGAGCCAGCAAGAACTGAGCTCCGAAACTCCGAGAGCCACACACTGCTGCAGCAATGTACAGCACGAAGAGGACGAGATTCCCCGGAGTCTGCAACAGGAAGTTCAGGGGGGGGTTAGGGGCTGCGGTGGTTGTTGCATCGGTCGCGAATTCACTGAGAAGTTGGAAGATTTCTGAGCCCAGCACTCGCACGATCAGACCTGCGTACTGCGGCAGCGCCTCGCAGTATGAATTGCACGGTCAAAGGAGGAGAGGCCAGATGTTGCGGTATATACCAGTTTCGTGTACGGTACCAAGGTCGCACTAGACAATGGGAAGTAAACGAACCCTCAAGTGCAAATCACCGCGAGCGTGAAGTGGATGCGTTTGCATTAGTGATGGCTAGAGGTACAAAGTGGGAAGCTCTGAAAATCAGTGTCCCTTTTTTGGGGGTTGCTTTGTTAAGGATTCCATTAAGAGTCTTCTGACAGTCTCATATCAGGACTGTCACAACTAAGGTCCCTTCTAGGCTGCACATGTTCATATGCTACTCTTTCACCAACTGCTTCGAAGAGACCCAAAATCTTACGCCAACAATGACTGAAATTATCCCCAACGGCCCAGTCCGGAACTGACCCAGAGTCTGCTTGCTGCTACGTGTTTCATGACTTGTGGGTTCGTCCTGGTTTAGCTGCTGATTCTTGGCTGTCGGCAGCTGGCACTCTTTGAGCGTAAGCTCTCCAAGCATGAAATGCGTGTTGTCTCTGTCTTGGGTGCCGACTGTCTCGAACGTGTCAACGACGAAGTGTGTGTACGTAGTCATCTGCCTCAGGAAGGAAAACCAGATCAAAACCGCGCAGGTTGTGAGTGCTGGGACAATCCAGAACCTAGAAGTGAAGAGAACTGCTCTTTTCGGGACACGAGCTCAGCGGGCGCTGCTGCGGAGCTTCCTTATGCTCGAGCCTAGCTGACCTACCTTATCCACACCGGCCTTGATCGCATGAGTCAAGAGATTGCACAGAAAGTCGTCTCAAGTCAGGTGTGTGTGAAAACCTGAGAAAATTTGCACTGCGGCATAAAATCAGGGAAAGGGCCTCACCTTCACCCAGTGTGCTGGCTATCAAACTGACCACACACACCTTGCAATGCGCTGGCCTGCGTAGAAGAAGACTACATCACAGTGAGGCCCGAGAACTGAAGCAATTGCTATCTACCGCGAAACGTCCTGGAGTTAAGCAAAGTTCCACTTGGCAAACTTCGTTCCAGCGGTGTGACACCATCTTCACATGCCCGGCATGATCTTGGCCTCAGGGCATTGCGAGGTCGGTTTCGGGGTCACGTGTCTGCTCCAGCAAGCACTGAGAGGCAAGCCCCCATCTTCTGCAAGAGCCTGTCCCCCACGGCCTGCGGCAGACCGCGCTTTTCGCCTGCCTCCTTCCCGGTGCCATTCCTAATCCAGTCTTCTTCACCTCTTTTTGCATGCCTGCAACTGGCACATCTTCGATGCACATGGGTGAAACAACGATTAGACAGGTGAGACTGCATGATGCGGGTAGTGTGAAACGGTCGGGTTGAGTTGTTACATCCCCTCTCATGTTCACGTAATGTCCTTTCAGTGTCCGGCGATCTCAGATCACGCCGAGTGCCTCAACGACAAAGAAGATGAAAACTACTAGACTACAGTGCACACGTAGAACCTAAGCTGTAGTTTGCTTGTGCACCTCCAGATCTGGCTGCACAGTTTGACCGTCGGCGAGAGATTGATCCAAACCAGCCTCACAGCTCGGGGTTTAGGCTTTGGGGTTTAGGATTTGAGTTAAAATTTCATGTTCAGGATTTCGGGTTGTAGTACTGGTTGTAGTTTCGGATTTGGGGAGCTGGGAATTATCCGAAAGACCTTTGGAATTGGATGGCAATTCTGTCGGGCTGCGGCTTACATGGCAACCACAAACGAATCAAGAAATAAAGAGCAAAAGTGCGTATGCATGTAACTGCATGTAGATTTGTCAGATACGTGTACTTTGAGGAGAAACCCGGGTTCACGGATTGCACAGGGATCGTGATGCCAATCAGCCATTCACTAAAACTCCTCCGTATTACGGACGACTTTGGCACTTTCAGACACCGGAACCTCCCTGCTAGCCCTATTCCTTGCTTAATGTATTATTTTCACGAGGGCCGGCTGCCCTTCAAACCTCAAGCCGCTTTAGAGCCTTGACCCTGATAGCATGGCAGGAAGCAAGGATGCGCAGGCTCTGCAGTGTTCGAGCCAGCAGGTCCTGGAAGGCGTGTCTCTGCAGATGGTGCTCAACAACAGCCGATAGCTGATCATGATTCTGTGGATTGAGCTAGTGATATGGCTCAGCTCCTCGGCCTTCAGTTCAGGTGCCGGATAGCCTCAGGCTCGTCGGTTGGCTGGATGTTGCTGGATGTTGCTGGGAACCAAAGCACTCAAAAGGACAAGAGGGGGGGTGGGGGGGGGGCTGGCGATCCAAAAACGTGACTCTCTCCATAAGCCAAGAGGCTCGAGAGTTCGTAGCAGTCATCATGCCAAGTCTGTGTCAGCTTGAGGCGAGCACAGAGCTTCGGGAAATCTTCCAACTGGCTCCTTGTTGAACAAACGAATGAAGTGAGGCGAGTGTGACAAAGTGTGACCATCAGAACTCAGTTGAAGTCTGTTCAGCCGGTGTTTCTGCCGAGATACAGTTCTGGCAGTTGCATGGCAGCAGTTAGCTGCATACCTTTCCAAGTTGACATGCAAGATGTGCAATCTCCACCTGAGACAACGAAAGTTCGGCGAACCGAGTCAAGATGCCAGAACCCAAGTGGAGAGAGTCCACCGTGACATAGCCAAACTTCGCATGGCGAGAGAAGCCTGTCCAATACAGCAACCCCTTTTGCAGCAGTCTGGGTATAGACTGGTCCTGCCAGCCAGCATCGAAGAGGAGTTGACAGCGCGTTTTCCATGGTTCGAACCTATTCTCGCTGGAATCGGAAGAAACCTATGCCGTGGCAAAGAGACAACTCCCGCGGACGAACAAAAAGTGCCTGTCCTGCCTTTCAATATGCGAGGTCTGGCAGCACCATCTTATGTTAGCAGCATGCAACTTCGCCGTCATCAACGGTTTATGGTCAGTGCTGTCATCGTCCACCATCGTAATGCTCATCACCATCATCATCATCATCACCAATATCAGCAGCAGCAGCAGCAGCTGCTGCAGCAACAGCAGAAACACAAACAGCAACATCATCATCAGAGGAGGATGAAGGTGTAGTTGCACTCGGGCTGCATCTCCAAATCTTCCAAGTTCCGTAGCAAGATCCGTCCGATGGGTACGGCTCACCTACTTGGAACATCTGAGCAATCATCATCATCATCACCATCATCATCATTCTCATCAGCATGAGCATGCTCACAAGCTTCTTTGCAATCGCATCTCATCTGCACAGGCAGACGACGGTGTCAAGCATGTGACAATGCTAGAACAAGCTGCCAGACTGCATCCCAGAAACCCTTGGAACAAAGGGAGTTGAGCTCTGTCTCGATGTTGTCGGCCATCCCTGCGTGTCAGTTGCACCCCACATCACCAGTCACAGCAGAGATTGCAAAGGATATTTGTACAATGGTGATCCCCGTGGAATGCTGCAGACATGCTGCTGAACAGCGCCGAAAATCGGTCCAATCCGTCTATAGTATATAACACGATAAATTACGATAAAGCAAAGCAAAATATAATGAAATCTAACCTAAGAGAATATGATATAAAAAGACAAACATCATGAAATAACATAATGTAACGATATGTAATCCCACATACATACATGCATACATACATACATGCATACGTACATACATACATACATACATACATACATACATACATACATACATGCATGCATATGCATATGCATGCATGCATGCATGCATGTATATAAATATACATGCATACGTACACATGTATGTATGTATGTATGTATGTATGTATGTGTGAAAATAACACGTCCCTACTTTCCCCTGAGAGAGACCAGACTTTGGACATCGCCACTTCATGTGGCTCAAGATGACTTTGCCCTG